CCCTTCTCCGTAACAACATATCCCAGAAATCGGCCCGTCTTCACCCCAAATTTACATTTAGCTGGATTCAGCTTCATACCGTACTCCCGCAGGGTGGTGAAAGTTTCTCTCAGGTCCCCAACGTGGTCGACCGCTCGCCTGCTCTTTACCAGCATGTCATCAACGTACACCTCCATGTTTCGCCCAATCTGGCCCTTGAACATTTGGTCGACTAGGCGTTGATATGTAGCCCCTGCATTCTTCAGACCAAAGGGCATAACTACGTAGCAGTACGTCCCCTTGGCCGTGACGAAGCTTACTTTTTTCTGATCGTCCTCTGCTAATGGGATTTGGTGATACCCCTGCGAGGCGTCCATCATGCTCAGAAGCTCGCACCCCGCCGTCGAATCAACTAGCTGGTCGATCCTTGGCAGCGGGTAATGGTCTTTAGGGCAGGCTTTGTTCAGGTCGCGAAAGTCCATACACATCCTCCACTTGTCCAGCTCTTTCTTCACCATGACCGCGTTGGACAGCCACTCTGGGAACTGGATCGGTTTAACGTGTCCAGCCCGTAACAATTTTTCCACCTCTCTCTCAATGACCAGGTCGAGCTCATGCCCAAAATGTCTGCGTTTTTGCTTTACAGGCCTCATTTTCTTGTCCACATTGAGACGGTGGACTGCCAAGCTAGGGTCTATACCAGTGAGCTCCTCGGGACTAAAGGCAAAGATATCTGCAAACTCCCTTAGCGTTCGCACCAGCTCTCCCCGGATGTTATCTGGTAGATCTTTCCCCACCCGGGTCGTCTTCCCCTCTACTCCCTCTATCAGCTCGATTTCGAGAAGCTCGTCTCGGGTAGCAATGTCCACCTTCACTTGCTTTTCAGCTTGCCCTACGATCTCTTCAGCTTTTCTCTTTCCCGACTGGCCCTCTTTGACGGTGACTTGATAGCAGGATCTCGCCATCTTTTGATTGCCCTTTACCTCTCCCACTTTGCTCCCCACGGGGAACTTCAGCTTCCGGCAATAGGTCGATACTACTGCCCTGAAGATATTAAGGCTTGGCCGCCCCAGAATTACATTGTATGCTGACCCAGTCTCTACGACTAAGAACTTGATCATCTTTACCTGCCTTAGGGGTGTTTCCCCCAACGCCACGGGGAGGACGACTTCGCCAAGGGGGACTACCTCCGCGCCACTAAACCGTATAGGGCCGTTTGCACCGGCTGCAGGGGTAGATCTAGCTTCATCTTGTCGAGGCAGTGTTTGAAAAGTATGTCGACTGAGCTTCCCGTGTCCACAAAGACGCGTTCCACATCAAAGTTTGCTATCTCCGCTGTTATTACCAGCGCGTCATTGTGGGGTGCTGTAATACTCCCTAGGTCCGCAGCGCCAAAGTGGATAAGAGGTATCTCCTCCGCCAATTGGACCTCCTCTCTCATATGCTCCTCCCCTGCCCGCACATGCCTCCGCCTTGCCCGATTTGAATCTCCATCTGTCGGGCCTCCGGAAATCATATGGATCACCCCTTTTTTTCGTTGGTCCTTATCAGGCTCCTCGCGGTCTTCTCGCCCCCGCTTATCATTCTCCTTCTTCCCTCCTTCCGGGTCTTTATCCCTTAGCACAAATTCTTTCAAGTGTCCCGCTCGTATTAGCCTTTCCAC